GTGTTGTGTAGTTGAACTGTCATTGATTCCTGTGCTTTGTGCCCCTGCAGCTGCCTTTCTGACTCAGACAGTATGTTTGGACGACACAACAGTCAAGTTTGAAATCTGGGACACAGCTGGTCAGGAGCGCTACCACAGTCTGGCTCCGATGTACTACAGAGGTGCCCAGGCAGCCATTGTGGTGTACGACATAACAAATGAGGTGAGTAAAGTCGCCAGGTTTTTTTACTGATAACGGGGGGTTTCCATCTTAAATCTGTCTGAGTAGCAAGCCGAAAAAAGAAACATACTTTGGTATCTCCAAATTAGGAGATGAGTCATCACTGAACAATACAGTGCTTTGTAGGCCGTAACGTCGACCTAATATGTACAGTACAATGATCACTTGATTCCAAAGAGGCTACACATTCACACACTCAAATGTAATGCGTGTTTATTTACACAGTATGTGCCGATCTGCAGCTGATTCAGCTGTTTCCTATTTGTAAACTGTACCTAAAGAGAGAAAGTTTGTTTCTGTACAAAGTTAGTTATTAAGATAGGATGTGAAGATTAGTTTAATGTCTGCTATGGATGTTCCACAGTGACAAAGCCAGCAGCAGTTTTCTTCAACTTAACTAAAGTGTGAATGTATGATGACACTTTTACTCACCTTGCTAAAATATTCCTATTACAGTCGATGATCTTTTAATGACATTTTAATCACATTTCATCCTGTGTGCACTGTACACAAACCTCTGCATGGTATCGCACACTGTACGACATGCTGTACCTGAGTTCAGGACATTTTTAAAGTTTCATATTTTATAAAAAGTGGTATTTTATGGGTCTCTGTTTTGAGCTTTGATCAAAAGATGGAGCAAAAGCCTAGCCGGACATCATGGGAAGGCTGCTGTTGTCCTCTCTTTCCATCACATAGATCTTATTGTTATTTTCACTAACTGAGTCACCCCCCCCTCCCTGTTTTGTTTGCCAGGAGTCATTTGTACGGGCGAAGAACTGGGTTAAAGAGCTTCAGAGACAAGCCAGTCCAAATATTGTAATAGCTCTGGCTGGGAACAAGGCTGATCTCGCAAACAAGAGAGCACTGGACTTCCAGGTTTGTGTTCTTTTAAATCCCTATTAATTACCGGAGGATGCGAACAGGACCAGAGAAATCATGACAAATAAACAGAATAACAGTCTCTGTGTGATTGGCCCCGATCTCCTCTACTATTTGGGAACTACCTACTTTGCTTCCTCTGCATTCTTTGAGGTACTTAAAGTCTTAAAGTCATTATTACAGATGTTTTTCTGACGTTTGTTTCATTTTCATAGGATGCACAGTCATACGCAGACGATAACAGCTTGCTTTTTATGGAAACATCTGCAAAGACCTCTATGAACGTCAATGAGATATTCATGGCCATTGGTAAGTGTCTCTTATATCTGAACTCTTCAACCTTACGTTAATGAAGAGTCGGATCTGCTTAGATTGATTTTATGATAGAAAATAAGTGACAGCTAACGTTGAAGGGCATTTGAGCAACTTGTGTTAGTAGCTTCCAACTGGACTTCACAGGTAAGTGGAAGCTATTTGGATATGAAATATTTACAGCAAGCTTGGTGCATTGTCGTGTGTTGAAATTAAATGTCTGAGCCCATATTGTACTCGGGACTGTGGACTGGGATTCACCCACTTCAGCTCAGTTTGCATTTAAAGAACACGCTGTTTGCTAACATAAAGCGATCGCGTAGATTTCCTGCTCAATGAGGCCTGTCGGCTCACAACGTAAGCTCTAGTTCGAGGTATAGAAACAGTGCTGCAAATAGAGCGATGGCATTTTTTTGTCACGTTTTCTTTAAAGTGTAAGTTGCAACCCCTACACTCACACTCCTCCCACACTAATGTTGCCTGACTTGTTATCGAGCACAGACTGTGGAACGCATGTGTGCGTGTGTCGGGCCATAAAGAGATCCTTATAAAAAAGATGATTGTTTATGTTATGTGTTTTATTCCTCTCTTTTATGATTTTATTTGCTGTCATAAACTGCACTAATTAGTAGGGTTGAGCGAGTACTCGGCTAGAATGAGTATCCGGTACAGATAATCTACTTTTTTATGAGTAATGTGTTAATATCCACACCTGTAAAAACACCCAACTTTTATTTAAAAAAAAAAAAAACCTGTTCTGTAAATTGTTCTCTTACTATTGTGATCAAAAACATTGATCTGAAGATAAATTCTGTAAATAGTTTTCTAATAAATTTAGCAACTTCTGATCAACCCTTATCAATTTCAGGCTCAAATGAACAACTCATTAACTCGTTCATCATGCCCACGTTTGGTTTAAGCACCACTCTTTAGTGGGTTGAACAGACACAGATAATAGTGTACTCCTTCCTCTGTACTAATTGGAGGGGATGTTACACAGAATTAGTTTTGGTACAGCAGGGGAAAGAATTGTAAGTGGACTCTGACCTGTTGATAATTCCTGAACAACTGCACCGTGCGAAGCATTTATACGAAGCAAAGATGTTCTACTGTTCCACTTGTGTTGTAATGAACACTGCAGACTGAAAAGAGGATGTGAAAGTGCAATAAAGTTCCTATACATGTAATCTACTAACTCAAACAGACAGGATTCACTGATACGCTGCCGCTGAGAATATATGTTGGTGATTTGTTGATTATTTCTGGGGACGTCGTCACTGATCCAGTTGCTATGTCATTGCAGCAAAGAAGCTACCCAAGAACGAGCCCCAAGCGACCGGAGCCAGCAGCGGGCGGAACCGGGGAGTGGACCTGACAGAGACGGCTCAGCCCACCAGCCGTCCCTGCTGCAGTAACTAACCCAGCTCTTCCTGCTCACCCCCCACCCAACCCCATCCACACACACACACACACACACACACCTCCCCTCTGCCCCCACCCCATTCTCAACTGAACATCTGGACATCAGGCTCCTCGGCTTCCTGACGTCAGACCTGACCGTCAACCCCACTCCCCCTGGAATAGCTAAAAGACTCTGTATAGCTGCATTTCTAATACCTTTATTTTATTTTTTGTTGATGTTCTTTTCTTTTTTTCTTTTTTTTAAACTTTTTTTAAGAAGTGTATATCAGTATAATGGATGCATGTATCACTACAACGCCTAAAAAAAAAACAAACACACATTTTTATCTCTTATTCAGTTGGAAGACTAACCCCATTTAAGAAAGATGAGCGAGCGAGAAACCCGTGATCGTGTGAGTGCGTCGTGTGTGAATTTCCAAGTGTGATTTGCTGATGAGAAGGTGTAGCCTCATTTGTCACTTCACAGGGTCGTCCGGATGCGAGCAGTGTTGCCTGTAATAGTCTTTGTGTGCAGGGGGTTAAGTTATGCTCACAATCAGAAGAAAACCAAATTGTTCCCATCTTGAGATGCCTGGCTTCCCAGACTGTTGTGAGGCATCAATGTATGTGCCAGGAAAGGACTGTTGTGCAAGAATCCCTCCCTCCTCACATCTGTTACACAAGAAGACAGGTTCATCCAAGACTCCTGATGGAAAGTGCGGAAAATAAATTTAATACTGTCCAGTTTTTTTGTGTGGAAAAAGCTGGAAAAATACACAAAGGTCTTTTTTTTTTTTTGGAGAGTATAGAAAACAAACCGCCTCGATACACATCTGGCTTCCCATTATGTGCGACCATCTGTTGAGCGATACGGGCCTGTCACGTTGCCATACATCATATTGAACAACGAGTTTTGGAAGTGCGTGAACATCAGGAACCAACACCTTCAGGCCAACGCGAGGCCGGTGTGACAGGATTTTTAAATTCGGCTTTGCTATTTAACAAACGCTTTCATGCTTGCGGCGACATCAAGTCCATCACAGAAGTCCCGTGTTGAATTTTGACACTGATGTGGTTTAACGTGGAAAAGAAAATCAACAGCAAAACTTGAAGACTGTTGAACATCCTGCTTTGTCTTGCAAAGACTTGAACATAGTTCTTTGTTAAAAGTCTTGTCCTTGTTAACCCGCTGTTTTTCTGTTCAGGCCAGTAGTCAACCTGCATCAGTCTGGGTGATCTCAATCAAACAGGGGGGATTGTTTTTAGAATAGACGTCAGACAGCACACAAACAGAAAATTGGACTACTACCCATTGTCACAAGTCTGTGGAGAAAAAAAAATATACTCTAATGTTGTTATAGGGTGCAATGTTGCAATGTTGTCTTCTTCCTCCTTTAGTACAGCTTGCAGAGCTTGTGAGCTCACCAGGAAATTGTCTAGAGATTCCGAACAATTGTACAGTTCAATATAGGCCTGCTTTGTATTTTTTATTAATTTTCATCCTAGACCTTGTCACAAACTGGTCAAATGTTAAGCAGTGGTGGTCTTTTTAGGTATGTGTAGTGTTATTAACAGAATCCCTCTCTGGTGTCTTGTTACTTTTCTCAGAAATGGTCCATGGTCATGTTTGAAAGGAACTTTTATTGCATTGCACAGTGTTGATCATGTTTTAATTAATGACTGCCCTTCGATTTTATATGACGGACTGTATTGGACTTGCTAACCTACAGCTATAAGCAGGTAGCATAATTAACCTTACTGGTGGTCTCTCTTACAGCTCAATGAATTTTAATGATGTTAAACAGCATTACTAGTGATGGGCTGATCAGTTTTGAGTGTCTGAATACAACTTAATAAATTCAATAAAGAGGTCTCTTGTACGCCTTTTTTGCTCTGAATATGTCAGTGGCATCACATGCAGGGGGGTTTTAAATAATGATACAATATTCTGTATTTATTGAAACCAAATTCATCGAATGACGAAGTCTATGAACACAACTGAAATGTTTTTCTTTGATTTTGAAACAACTGTCACATAGAAATCTGTACAGATCGGAGCTTTACGGCTCTCAGTCCTCAGTAGGGTTGTGAGGATTTCTAAAGAGCTGCAATTATTAGTAGATTGAAAGAAAATGAATCAACTATTTAACTTCACAGTCATTTATTAAGAGTCGACAGTCATGTTAACAACTCTGTGAGGCTGTATTTAGATGGAGTGCGTGCTTTCAGCTAAAGTCATTTGTAACATATTCACCATCATAGTTCAACATCTATCTCGTCACGTGACCTGATGATGGTGCTGGATGAAAAG